TTTGCATTACGTTTGTGTTGTTTTGTGCAGTAGAGGCCGTGCAAAACGACGAAGAAAAGAAGGAAAACGGCGATGGCGGGAATTACAGCCACAAAGAATATCCATCATTTCAGGCCCAAATAAACAAGTAATCTTTGAATCTATAAATTCCAAATTTGTCGTAAATTTATGAAGTTGCGCCCGATTTCATGTTCAGCAATTGATAAATGTTCTACATGTTTGTTGGCAGTAAACTTCTGTACGAATTGTACAAATCTTCAAAACAAGAGGCTGACCGTGATGAAGAACTCGATCCAGAGGAAAGCTTAGGCAAACGAAACTCCGTTTTAAGGATACTTATACAAAAAGTCGGACAGGAGTGCGGGATCCCTAGTGTAATAATAAATCATAGGCTGATCCAATAATTCAAAACAAAGATCTGGCGATTAAATCAAGCACCAGCCAAAGCCAAAACTATGAGAGGCAATGGGGTGAAAAAACTCTTTTCTAAGTGGACAAAGGGTAAATTTTCAACTTGGAATTTTAAGATATATTACTATGAAATGGACTGTGTTATGCTCCAAAACGAAAATCATGGAATTGAGGGGACAGAAAAGAAAGCTTGAAGATGATCTTACAGAGGAAAGGAGCAAGAAGGCCAAAATTGATAAAAGCCTTCCACGGGACGAGTGCGCTTTTCAGCCGCCATTTTTTTGGTCTACTTTGTTCAGCCCCAGAGCCCGCTCATTCAAACTGCGCAGGAGCAGGACCAATTTTTCAGTCTCGAGCAAATGTCTCCCTCAAAGGGGTAATTTTTTGGAATGTTCAGTGAGGTTTACAGTTGGCCGTAAAACGGCAAAAGAAAAATTAGGCGTAAAAGTTGACAAATTTTTAACCGTAAATCGTAAAATAAGGTAACTGTAATTTTTTTTTTTTTTTTTTTTTAATCGCAGAGGAAAGAATTAACTGTTTTAGCCGTAAATGGCCAACATTTCAACCGATAGCCGCAAGAGCCATCACTCCATTGAGGCTAGGGAATGATGAAAAACAAGTTTCTCTCAGATATGGTGCTAAATTCTATCAAATTCATCACTTTTATTTTAACTTTTAACGAGTATCTTTTTTTGCCCCTTCTGGCATGAAAAATGTGATTATCCCCTAATGAGTTAAGCTCTCGCCGCTTGCTAGCTGGTGATCAAGATGAAGCCGAATTCTACGGTTTTCTGGCGCCGAAAAAAGAAAACATGTCCCGTCTCTCTAATCTGCCGTTTGTTTTTCTGTCACACGTAAAACAACGAAAGTAAAACCCGTTTTTAGGAAACGGCTAATATTTTTCTCCTGGGAGAAGTGGGGTGGAGTCCAACTAAAATACAATGTTCAA